TCCAACACAAATGAAGATTGAAATAATACTCATATAGAGAGAAATATTGTTATTAAAACTTTTTTTCGAACACACCGCGGAAATATATCGTCGAGACAGGAAATAGTAATCGCAAGTGTTTCACCTTATTTGAGCGCCATTTTGAATCGATGGCTATTTTATTGAAATTCGTGGGTAATATCGGACCTGAGTCGGGAGGTCACGTGGCATACGTCATTTGTCAAACATGATATGTATCGTCAGTTAAGCGCCATTTTGAATTGGTAGCTATTTTGAATTGGTAGCCATTTTGATTGAAATTCGTAGGTTATGTCGAAGTTTTATATCTGGTTTGACGAGGTTAATGGTACCGGAAGTATAATATGTAGTATACATTGACTGCGCTGAATATGGGCGTTTGCTATCGGTGAAGCAATAACTGATAGGCCAAACGTATCACATGATATATGTTGAGCGCCATTTTGAGTCGATAGCAATTTTGATTGAAACTCGTAGGTTGTGTCGACCCTGAGTGTTTCTTCCGACAAGCACCGGAAGGTCACACGGCATACGTAATCTGTCAAACATCATACGTATCGTCAGTTGAGTGCCAGTTTGAATCGATTGCCATGCATTTTGGTTCAAATTCGTAGGTTATGACGACCCTGAGTGTCTGCTTTCAACAAACACCAGAAGGTCACGTGGTATACGTCATCTGTCAAACATCATACGTATCGTTATTTGAGCGCCATTCTGAACCGCTAGCCATTTCGACGGCTTGAGTGCCTGCTTTCGACGAGTTCTGGAAGGTCACGTGGTATACGTCAGTTGTTGAATGTCATACGTCAAACGTTAGTTGAACCCTCGGTTGAACCAGAGCGTTTAGTTTCAATGAGCACCGGACGTATCATTAACGGCTTATATTTATCATATGTGAGATCTGTCGAATGTCATATGTCATACGTTAGCTGTAATCTACCAAATGGAATATGTTAATCATGAGACACCCTGTATATTCTCAATGTTTTTCTCTGAACCCGGTTTTTCGGATCCACCCTGTATATCATACTTCATCTTGTTATTGTAGTTGTGTTATTTCCATTCTTATCGGCAGCTTGCGGTCAGCTCGCTCGTTGTAGCCGGATGTAGATTGCGGTTAGGTTAGGTTCCATGTGAGTGGGGCGAATACCTCCCCTCCACTGCGACCCCAGATGGGTCTATTGTGGCTCACCCCTAGAGGTTACAGTTCACTGTACAATCCACATCTTTTTACAAAGTTCATGGTTGAATTGGGTGAGATTTGTCTGAAATCGATAGGTTCTAAATTGGTAAAGCCAAATATGTCGAACCTTAGTCTTTCTAAGCTAGAGCATGAACATAATATGTGTTCAGCCGTTTCGTCTTCCACACAACAGAACCGACAGTCCGTTTGTTGGTTCAGACCCATCCTTCCCAGGTGGTATCTTAGACGACAGTGTCCCGTAAGCAGTCCAGTCAGAATTCGCAGGTTACCCCTGCTCCATTCTAGGATCTGCCTGGTTATTTTTTCCGATGGTTTAGGCAGGAACTCCTTCGAATGGGTTAATCCTGGCAATTCAGACCAGTACATGAGTGTTTTTCCCTCCGCCCAGCCCGAGATAGTTGTTTTCGCCGCACTTGCGGTGACCCCAAAATATGGTTCTGGTCCTATGAACACAGATTCGGTTTCCTGTTTGGCGAGGATGTCGGCTTTCTCGTTACCTTCCACCCCTGGTGTCCAGGCACCCACAGCAAAGTGACTCTGTTGTTAGCACCCAGGCATTCTAGGGATTCAATACAGCTCCATACAAGTTGGAATTTATCTTGTTGGAGCTCAGTGCTTCAAGAGCAGCCTGACTGTCTGATACAATACTGATATTTTTGTTTACTAGAGGTTTATTCGTCAACTCTCTAGCACACAATTCAATTGCGAATACCTCCGCCTGAAAGATTGTAGCATATTTGCCGAGATTGACGGAAATTTCCGTCTTCGGTTTTCTGCTGAACACACCGGCTCCAACTCCAAGAGGGGTTTTCGAACCATCTGTGTACATTACGTGTTCGGTCTCTGGGAATTGGACTGATCCTCTTGCCCATTCGTCTCTCTTCGGGAAGAGGACTTTGAAAGACTTTTTCACGTGTGTCTGAGTGGCCAACATGTCGGGCACCATTCCTAGAGTTTGGTGATTTTTTGTTTCAGATTGCGGTTAGTTTCTACACCAGTGGATAATAGCGGCGAATAACCATTATTCACTGTTCTACAGTTCATAGGGTACACAATATAACAACAAGTATCTTCAATTTTTAGTTTTCTTAATGTCAAATGATACAGTTGTTAAAAATGAATTTATAGATCAAATGCAATAGTAGTCCTGAACAAAATCATTTACAGGGACAGGAACCATATAAGATGGATTACCGACTACCAAGCGCGGAATTTCATTATTATTAAGATTGTTACATTCAAAGTTTTGGCGAACACGCCAGGACACATCTTGATTGTATTATGAATCTATACTTATATTATAAAGAGGAAAGATTTGATTGATTGTTTGTTTCTATTGAATAGATTCCGAAACTACTGAACGATTTGGCTGAAAATTGGTGGGGAGGTAGCTTAGAACCAGGGGAAGGTTATAGGATACTTTTTATCCCGGTACCATTAGTAAATTCAAGATGGCGGATCTAATATATCGGACGAGTGTTGTAACTATATTCCGATTCTATTGAAAATTGGTATCTGGGGGTTTTCGGGGTCGGAGATTATGATTCTTTCGTCAGAATTTGAAAATTCGGGCGGTATTTGGAAATTCATGATGGCGGACGAGTTTTGTAATTATAATCCGATTCTTTTCAAAATTGGTACCTATAGGGGCTTTCGTGATCGGGTATTATGATGCCTTCGTCAAAATTAAGAAATTCAAGATGGCGGATCCAAAATGTCGGAATTTGTAATTAGGATCCGATTTTATTCAAATTTGGTATCTAGTGCTTCTCGGGGTGGGAGATTATGATTCTTTCGTCAAAATTAGAAAATTCAGGATGGCGGACCCAATATGGCGGACGAGTATTGTAATTATGATCCGACTCTCTTCAAAATTGTTATGTGGCTGTGTTCGGGGTCGGATTTTATGAATCTTTTGTCAAAATTTGGAAAGGGCGGGATTTGGAAATTCAACACGGTGGAACCTATATACCGGACGAGTTTTGTGATTATATACCAATTCTAAAAAAAAATTGTAAGTGGGCGGTTTCGGGATCAAAAATTATGATTCCTTCGTCAAAATTAGGGAATTCAAGATGTTAGATCCAATATTGCGGACGAGTATTGTAATTATGTTCCGATTCTATTCAAAATTTCTATTTGGGGTTTTAGGAGTTGGATATTATGATTCTTTTGTCAAAATTGGGAACTTCAAGTGAACTAAAAAGAAGTTGAAACAAATGGTAGTTTGAAAAACTAAAGAAACACGCCAAGAAGTAGGAAATAAAATAATCATAGTGACTTGATGAATATTGAACTGAAAAATTATACTATAGTAATAATGTATATACCAAAACAACGTTTGCAAGGTCTGCTAGTTAAAAATAAAAGTTCAACGGCAATAGTAGTCCTGAACAAAATCATTTACAGGGGCAGGAGCCCTATAAGATGGATTGCCGACTATTGGGCGCGGAAATTCATTAATACGCCTCGTTAAAAAAAATAGTCGAGATGATCAAAGTATTTTTCGCTGGAGTTGCAAACAACATTTTTTCTACAAATGTCACAAACTATAGTTCTAAAGTAAATATATGCTGATCTTGATATAAAAAATAGTGTTGAACTGGCTTAGAAGGCCTACCCCTGTCCTCCCTAGGTACGCACGATGTTCCACGAACATAATAGGAATTTCCTTTCGTGCGCTCCAATAGATAACAAAAGTTATTGTTGATCATTCAGAAATAAATGATTTCGTGTATGTTTGCTCGATTGAGGACCATAAAGTTGAAATATAAATATATTATATATTTTACATAACAATGCGCGAAATAGGTACTTCGCGCACTGTTTTACTTCGCGCATTGTTTTGTGCAAAGTATCATGGTAACGTAGGAAACTGAAACAAAGTGTCACTTTGCAATTTGTTATCAATGCGCGAACCTTGTCATTTTTTGACGTTTGTAGGAAAAGAGTATTTATTTCTCTCTTTTTTATTCAAATGATTCATGACCATGAAACAAGACAATTCAATATATTGTTAGCAAATAATTAAAAGTCAAATTTTGGTAAACAATCAATATTCCATAATGGCATAATTTCATATAACTCCTTAGCTAATGAGTTGAAAATATATAGAAGCAGAAAAATTTTGAATCAATTTAAAGAAATATCTGCTCAGAAAACTTCAATTCCATATCTACTAATCATTCACAATTTTATTACTTGGAAAACAATAATTGTGCAATTTTTATTGTTTTGATTTATTACATTATATGTATGTTTTGTTTTATATATCCCTATTATAAACAATAATGTTTCTTGGGGGTAATAAAGACAATCAATAATGAAAATGTAACTAGCTTCTAGAAAGAAAAGAAAATGTCTTCCTGTCTGTCCATGTCAAAGGATTCTTTCCAATGTGATTTTTTTTTAATTTCATGTTGGTATCACAAAACATGAGAAGAAATAAAGAGGACCATTCTAATCTCAAAACAAAGAAGGTTAATAATTATTGATAGGTTTGTAACTTCCTGGAAGAATTTACCATGTTACTAGAAGAATCACATGTAATTATTATCTTGGGAATGAAAAAACACATCAGATCTGAATCAATAAAAGCAAGTGAAATTCCTAATGACATAATTTCGCCTCTTTGGTAAATTTCAAGAAAACTAGTTCAAACAACTAACAAATGACTAAATTGAAAAAAATTACAAACAATTCAGAAAATGAATGATCTTCCATATTCATAAAATAAATTTAGTTGATTAGAAAACTTATATAATGTTTCCTTACTCACCCATGGTCAGTAAATATTCAATATCATTTTTGAAAAACTTATTGAATAATTGGGCTGGTTCATATTTGATATCCTGAGCCCACTGTCGTGTGGATGTCCTTTTCACATTTCCAGAATCAGTAGCACTATGTTCTCCTTCCACTTTAGCTTCTGGATCTTCTGCATCCGGAGACACATCTTGGTCTGCATCATCTTCCCCAAATAACTGACTAAAAAAATACACATCAATAAGAATAAGTGATTTTGGTTAAATAGATGTGTTCATCAAGTGATGGAAGCAATTCAAAAAGGAATTGATAAAGGAAATCACGTAGTAGCTGTTTTCATTGATCTAATAAATTAAAAGTAAAAAAAAACTTTTTAATGAAAAGCTTTTATTTAAACGCTCTAGAAAGAAGAAAATAAAATTTATCTCAATAATTTTAACTATCAACTTATAACCTCATTATACACAATTTAAATGATCATAAAAGTTTGTCATGCAATTCACTTCTGTGAATGAACTAGTACTTATTTAATTATGTTAAATCTGCTGATAAATTTTTTTAAATTACAATTTAATTAAATATGCAATTCACTTGTGTGAATGACTAGTACTTATTTAATTGTTAAATCTGCTGATAAAATTTTTTAAATTACAATTTAATTAAATATTGATCATAGCAACAAGCTTTCATGATCATATAAATTGTGTATAATGAGGTTATAAGTTGATAGTTGAAATTATTAAGAAAAATTTTATTTTCTTCTTTTTAAAGCGTTTAAATGAAAGCTTTTTGTTAAAAAAATTTTTTTACTTTCAATTTATTTTTCAATTTTCAGTTATTACTAGCTGGATTTTTCGATTTACTCTCAACGAGCCTTTTCATTTGATACCCATATCGTAGAAGTATATTAAAAATGACCATTCCGCCATCTTGGATGGTCCGTCATAATGGATTTAGAATGACGTCACATAATTTTTCGAGTTCCTCTCAACGAGCCTTTTCATTTGATACCCATATTGTAAAAGTATATCAAAAATAGCTATTCCGCCATCTTGGATGGTCCGCCATATTGGATTTAGAATAACGTCACATTATTTTTCGAATTACTCTCAACGAGCCCTTTCATTTGATACCCATATTGTAGAAGTAGATTAAAAATGACCATTCCGCCATCTTGGATGGTCCGCCATATTCGATTCAGAATGACGTCACATCATTTTTCGAGTTACTCTCAACGAGCCTTTTCATTTGATACCCATATTGGATTTAGAATAACGTGACACACCTTATCGTGCATTGTCATCCAAACTGAACGTGTATACAAAATTTCAGCTCAATAGGTTGAAGATTTCTACTTCAAAATTGAGTTCAAAGATTCCACCCAAACATACATCCATACAAACATACAATGCAAGTTAAATAAAAGCTATCAAAAAAGGCTTTTGATGCAGTGGACCACACAATACTTCTGGATAACTTGGAAACCATGGGACTCAGAGGCATTGTGAGAAATATTTTAGCTTCATATCTTGAAAATAGGGCAAATAGTACCAAATCTGCTAATTCTGAGTCTCATGAACTGTTAATAAATAAGGGTGTTCCACAAGGATCTGTTTTAGGACCAATACTGTATCTGCTTTATGTACAAAATATCAGGAAATTTGGTTTAGTGAGTAATTATACCATATATGCAGACAATACAGTGCTCTTATATCCTCTAATTTTAGAAACTGTGATAAATAACAATCTGAAATTATTTGAAAAATGTTTCCACTCTAACCTTTTATCAATAAATACCAGAAAAACTGAATACATGATTTTTCAACAAAAAAATAAACAGAAAATTCAGCACAATCTTCAAATAAAGAATGTATTCCTGAAACAAATAGATAAAGTATTTAGGTATTACATGGTAGCTGTTTTCATTGATTTAAAAAAAGGCTTTTGATACAGTGGATCACACAATACTTCTGGATAACTTGGAATCCATGGGAGGCATTGTGAGAAATATTTTAGCTTCATATCTTGAAAATAGGGCAATCACTACCAAATCTGCTAATTCTGAGTCTCATGAACTGTCAATAAATAAGGGTGTTCCACAAGGATCTGTTTTAGGACCAACACTGTATCTGCTTTATGTACAAAATATCAGGAAAGTTGGTTTAGTGAGTAATTATACCATATATGCAGACAATACAGTGCTCTTATATCCTCTAATTTTAGAAACTGTGATAACAATCTGAAATTATTTGAAAAATGTTTCCACTCTAACCTTTTATCAATAAATACCAGAAAAACTAAATACATGATTTTTCAATAAAAAAATAAACAGAAAATTCAGCTCAATCTTCAAATAAAGAATGAATTCAAAGAAAAAACATAAACGCAAAGTCGGTCGACCACAAAGTTTAATTACAAAAAGATTTTTGTGACTAGTTTCGGCACAAGCAGCCATCTTCAGACACAGTATATAGTACCTGTAAAGATATTGATTTACAAGAAAAAATGTCATATTGAGGAAAAAACATACCTATAAAGTACACGTGGAATCACACATAATTGATTAATTGAAAAATTTAAATTGCAAGGGTCATTGGCCAAAATTCAGTCAGGTGAAAATGTTTGTATTATTTTGAACCGACTGAACAGCCAAAAGAACCTAATAAGGATTAGATTCAACATTGGCAGAAAAATTGGAAAACTAGAAGTTAAATTCACTCACATGAGTTTCATCTTAAAATGGCCGTTTTTTGAAAAAACAAAAGCCAAGGAGATGGCAACGAAATGTCAAGCAAAACAATAGACGTTGACATTTCGTTGCCATCTCCTTGGCTTTTGTTTTTTCAAAAAACGGCCATTTTAAGATGAAACTCATGTGAGTGAATTTAACTTCTAGTTTTCCAATTTTTCTGCCAATGTTGAATCTAATCCTTATTAGGTTCTTTTGGCTGTTCAGTCGGTTCAAAATAATACAAACATTTTCACCTGACTGAATTTTGGCCAATGACCCTTGCAATTTAAATTTTTCAATTAATCAATTATGTGTGATTCCACGTGTACTTTATAGGTATGTTTTTTCCTCAATATGACATTTTTTCTTGTAAATCAATATCTTTACAGGTACTATATACTGTGTCTGAAGATGGCTGCTTGTGCCGAAACTAGTCACAAAAATCTTTTTGTAATTAAACTTTGTGGTCGACCGACTTTGCGTTTATGTTTTTTCTTTGAAAAAATCTGGACCACTTTGAGAAGGATGGATGGTTTCCATGACTTAAAGAATGAATTCTTGAAACAAATAGATAAAGTATTTAGGTATTACATGGTAGCTGTTTTCATTGATCTAAAAAAAGGCTTTCAATACAGGGGACCACACAATACTTCTGGATAACTTGGAAACCATGGGACTCAGAGGCATTGTGAGAAATATTTTAGCTTCATATCTTGAAAATAGGGCAATTAGTACCAAATCTGCTAATTCTGAGTCTCATGAACTGTTAATAAATAAGGGTGTTCCACAAGGATCTGTTTTAGGACCAGTACTGTATCTGCTTTATGTACAAAATATCAGGAAAGTTGGTTTAGTGAGTAATTATACCATATATGCAGACAATACAGTGCTCTTATATCCTCTAATTTTAGAAACTGTGATAAAGGACAATCTGAAATTATTTGAAAAATGTTTCCACTCCAACCTTTTTTTAATAAATACCAGAAAAACTGAACACATGATTTTTCAACAAAAAAATAAACAGAAAATTCATCTCAATCTTCAAATAAAGAATGAATTCCTGAAACAAATAGATAAAGTATTTAGGTATTACATGGTAGCTGTTTTCATTGATCTAAAAAGAGGCTTTCAATACAGGACACCACACAATACTTCTGGATAACTTGGAATCAATGGGACTCAAGAGGCATTGTGAGAAATATTTTAGCTTCATATCTTGAAAATAGGGCAATCACTACCAAACTGCTAATTCTGAGTCTCATGAACTGTCAATAAATAAGGGTGTTCCACAAGGATCTGTTTTAGGACCGATACTGTATCTGCTTTATGTACAAAATATCAGGAAAGTTGGTTTAGTGAGTAATTATACCATATATGCAGACAATACAGTGCTCTTACATCCTCTAATTTTAGAAACTGTGATGAATAACAATCTGAAATTATTTGAAAAATGTTTCCATTCTAACCTTCTATCAATAAATACCAGAAAAACTGAATACATGATTTTTCAACAAAAAAATAAACAGAAAATTCAGCTCAATCTTCAAATAAAGAATGAATTCCTTAAACAAATAGATGAAGTATTTAGGTATTACATGGTAGCCGTTTTCATTGATCTAAAAAAAGGCTTTTAATACAGTGGATCACACAATACTTCTGGATAACTTGGAATCCATGGGACTCAGAGGCATTGTGAGAAATATTTTAGCTTCATATCTTGAAAATAGGGCAATCAGTACCAAATCTGCTAATTCTGAGTTTCATGAACTGTCAATAAATAAGGGTGTTCCACAAGGATCTGTTTTAGGACCAGTACTGTATCTGCTTTATATACAAAATATCAGGAAAGTTGGTTTAGTGAGTAATTATACCATATATGCAGACAATACAGTGCTCTTATATCCTCTAATTTTAGAAACTGTGATAAATAACAATCTGAAATTAGTTGAAAAATGTTTCCACTCTTAACCTTTTATCAATAAATACTAGAAAAATCGAATACATGATTTTTCAACAAAAAAATAAACAGAAAATTCAGCTCAATCTTCAAATAAAGAATGAATTCCTGAAACAAATAGATAAAGTATTTAGGTATTACATGGTAGCTGTTTTTATTGATCTAAAGAGGGCTTTTGATACAGTGGACCACACAATACTTCTGGATAACTTGGAATCTATGGGACTCAAGAGGCATTGTGAGAAATATTTTAGCTTCATATCTTGAAAATAGGGCAAACAGTACCAAATCTTTTAATTCTGAGTCTCATGAACTGTCAATAAATGAGGATGTTCCACAAGGATCTATTTTAGGACCAATACTGTTTCTGTTTTATATACAAAATATCAGGAAAGTTGGTTTAGTGAGTAATTATACCATATATGCAGACAATACAGTGCTCTTATATCCTCTAATTTTAGAAACTGTGATAAATGACAATCTGAAATTATTTGAAAAATGTTTCCACTCTAACCTTTCATCAATAAATACTAGAAAAACTAAATACATGATTTTTCAACAAAAAAATAAACAGAAAATTCAGCTCAATCTTCAAATAAAGAATGAATTCCTGAAACAAATAGATAAAGTATTTAGGTATTACATGGTAGCTGTTTTCATTGATCTAAAGAGGGCTTTTGATACAGTGGATCAGACTCAGAGGCATTGTGAGAAATATTTTAGCTTCATATTTTGAAAATAGGGCAATTAGTACCAAATCTGCTAATTCTGAGTCTCATGTACTGTCAATAAATAAGGGTGTTCCACAAGGATCTGTTTTAGGACCAATACTGTATCTGCTTTATATACAAAATATCAGGAAAGTTGGTTTAGTGAGTAATTATACCATAAATTCAGACAATACAGTGCTCTTATATCCTCTAATTTTAGAAACTGTGATAAATAACAATCTGAAATTATTTGAAAAATATTTCCACTCTAACCTTTTATCAATAAATACCAGACAAACTGAATACATGATTTTTCAACAAAAAATAAACAGAAAATTCAGCTCAATCTTCAAATAAAGAATGAATTCTTGAAACAAACTGAACAAATAAAGTATTTAGGTATTTGGTTTGATGAAAAATTGAAGTGAGACAAATGACAAACATATTGAGGTTCTGACAAAGAAAATATCAAATATCTTCTATTATTGGTGCATTGAGAAGATGTCCCAAACTCAACATGAAAATTGCAAATATAGTACCCTATTCACATATACTAAGTCTAATTAACTATTTAATAAAATGTTTGGGGATCTTGTTCTAAAAATAATCTTAATGAAATATCAACATCATTAAAATCACTGTAAAAAGTACTGTATGGTCTTCCATAATTATGGTACACCAACAACTGAACTTTATGCCTTAACAAAAACATATTATTTAGAAGAACTGTACAGATTAGAGACTGGAAATTTTATACAATATTATAAATAAAAAATTTAAATCTAATATTATTTTGACAAGAAATTTTGAAATGCATAGTCATCAACCTAGACAATATAACTTATTTCACCTTGATGCTGCTAGTTCTACACTTGGACAAAAAATATTCACTCATGCTGCCTTATCTAAGTTCAATAAACTACCAGATGAAATTAAAAACTGCAGAAGTATAGGTACATTTAAAAAGAAAATAAAAAAACTGATCATTTCTGAGAGAAATGTTTAAAATTTATCAGTAAGTTATGTCCTTGACTAGAATGCTTTCCTTTGTTCATTAATTGTTTTGTGTTATTGTGATTTATTGTGATATCCTTATTTATTATTCATGTTCACTTCTACCCATGTTTGTGGTAGTAGTTCAAAGAAATTTTTTACTTATTATTTTATAATTATGTTCTTCCTCATACCAGAACTTGTTCTGACTGGAAGATATGTTTGATAAATAAATAAATAAAAAATAAATTTTTATTCTCACTTGAACAAATGTTTAGCCCAAACTATGCAATGAACTGGTTCAGATGGAGTATTCCTGATAGTGCAACCAGGAAATGTTTTCTGAGCTGGTTTTGGCTGGCACTCATAACACTGAGTCACACTCTTTTTGATCAATTCTACTTGGCCAGAATAACCAGAAGTTCCAGATTCAATGAGTGGAACATCAGCAGCCAAGCACATACGGTTAACATGGTTTCTGGCAGCACGATTATCCAAGGCATTCAATACTAGATTGAACTTCTTGAAAAAGTTGACTCCATAATCTTGACTACAATGAAAACAGTGAATTTATTATAAAATTATTATGGACATGAAGAAAACAAATCACCTTGTAATACTGTCATGGTATGTTTTAATCTTCAAATCAGGATTATAGCTCTTAATACTTAATGCAGCTACAACTGCTTTAGGTTTTCCAACATGTTCCTTTCTGAATAAGAATTGTCGATTCAAGTTGCTTACATCAATTGTGTCCAGATCAATCTGGAATGCAAATAATCAGTAGTGGTCAATGAAAACTGAGACAATTTGCAGTAATAACTGCAACTACATAATAATATAACATAACATAAACAGGAACATACCACCCGGCATTATGTATGGACAGTACTTGCTGCGAATGTTTACTTACAATTTCAATATCTTGAAATCCCGATAATGCTAAATTCTTCAATACTTCACAACCTATTCCACCGGCCCCAACAACCAGAACTCTGGATTTATGTATTAAATCGCCAACATTTTCTTCAACAGACAATGCCGACAATGGAGATTGTATTGCTGACATTTTGATACAAATTGATGAGTTAACACTGCCTACAATTTAACTGACACTTTTAACTGGAAACTACACAACGTATTATCTATTGTTTACTATTCCTAGTTTTCCTTTTACTACTCAAATCTCAAATACAAGTGGCCAAAATTCGAAAGATAAATTCTGTAAAACCATGTAAAACAAACAACAAACAACATAACACCAATGCGAAATGTGCGATGTGCGGTGCGGCGTGCGGCCAATGCCAATGCCAAACGAATTTTTTCAAGTCAGCTGTCATCTGTCATATGTCCCATTTGTCCGACAAGAAGTGTCAGTAACTACAACAATTTAATTTTACCGCAGCCACGTACATTTGACTGATGACCAATCAGAACAATTTTTGAAATGGTGGTAAATTCGAAACACTGCTTATAAAATTCGGGTTATACCGTTACAATTACCGTTACCTCACGTGGGTAACGCGGTTATACCGATAACTTGTTGCATAATTATAATGAAAATGAAGAGTATCGGTTTAAAAGTTGAAATAATCCTACAGCGAAGTGGAAGGATTATTCTGTTATTATTGTTGGTTTATTCAACAGAACACAACTATAATTGTTCTTCAGATTCCAATCAAACTGATGAAAAAGTCAAAAAATCAATATACATGCATTTGGACACAGATCAACAAACATGGGTTGGAACGGTTGGATTCATTCTAACATGAATTACACGTCCATATTACACTCATATAAAAATCAGAACTGAGATTGATCTCAAATGAGAATTCATATGCACAGTCGAAAAATTAAATTCAAATTCGACGCCCTGTTTAGCCGCTAAACGTAGCGTTTTCTATAGAGGTAATTGTAAATCTCGGTTTAAATCATCAGATTTTGATCTCAGAGGAGTGAGGATGGTATCATTTTGAACAGACCTTACACGTACAACCTGTATAAGAAATACGACATTGTTCACAACCTAGTTTTCATTCAAATAGAAGATTCATTGTGACCGCAATGAATAACTTAAATATTCATGTATGCAACGTTATATTATTTTCATAAGCCCATAATGATGTTATTTTGATTTAACGGTATTCTGATGCGACCATTGAAGTTAATTGTTAACAGCCTACGTCCGTAAGATTGTTTAACGGCCGGCGGCAGTTAACTGTTCCATAACAACATGTTGGAATTTTTCGGTAGAATTACGAGGTACGTGGTTAATTAATTGTTGTTTCCTCGAAATCAAAATGTAACTTTTCAGCCCATTCGGCCGCTGCGGATTCCATGCCATCAATTATTAGCGCTTATCAGTTTGTTCAAACTTCCATATATTGCAAAGGCAGGCAGTATAATATGGCGGAAAAACACGAAAATAAATCCTTGTAAAATATGTATAATGTTGTAAATGAAAAATGTACAAGGATATATTGAAATAGTAGAGGAAAAAAATTGGTATTACAAAATAAAAAAATGTATTCTTTATACAAAATATACAGCTTAATAGTAAAGGCGGCTAGTGATAATCTTCGAGAATTAAATCACCAGAAAGTCTTTGCAGGTCTCGAGAAGACCAATAAGTATCACATAATTCTTTAGTAGACGAACCGCCCAACAGATCGTCCAACTCGTTCCTGATAACCTGAGTATTTTCTGACAACTCCAGCAACGTTTTGGACGATTGGATCGGTGCAGGTTCTACTGGTTCCTCAAGTTCAGGTGGTTCTTCCTTAACCCCCAATGGAGTCGGTTCTTGCTTAACCACACATGGTACAGCCTGTGTTGGTTCCCCGGAGTAAGTTGGTTCTTGCTTAACTATAGCTTCACCAACGGGGCCATTTTCTTCCGGTTTTCCTGAAGTCTTGTGGGTTTGTTTTGAAATGCGTGGATTCCGGGTAACATTTTCAGATTGGAGGTGGCTGGAGTGTTCAAATTCCACAAGGAGGTCCTGTACATCCTTGGGTAGCATCTCGAAATCCTTTATGTCTTTGGGGAGTTCATTTGCTACAGAGTGTTCGTAGCTCATTGCTTCTGCAGCTGGGTTATCTGGATGCCTTTCAGGCTCATTTTCGCCCTCATCTGTTTGATGCTCTTTACTTTTTTCGGGTTCTTTATTACTGCCTCTAGGAAGGTCTTTGGTAACAGACTGTTCATCGTTAATTAATACTGCAGAAGGTTTCGTTACTTCTGAAGGACATTTTTCAGACTTCTTCTCATTTTTGCCAGACTGATTATCACGTTCCGTTTTGGAGGATTTATCACTTGATTTTCTTTTATTGCTATCCTGTATTTTCAGATCGTGTAAGGGAGTATGAGTTCCATTTGAAGTCGTAGTACTTTTATTGACTTCTTGTTGTATGCCTAACTCACTACATGGCACTTTGGTGGTTGTTTTTTCTTTAGAAACTGTAGATGTTTTCTCAACATTTCCACTTTTATTTTGATCAGTTACTGAGGCACTTTTTATTGCTTTAGAATTATCATCTGGTTCATTTTTAATGTGCAAGGAATTATTCATAATATCTTCAACAGTAATTGTGATTTTGTTTACTCCCTCATCATGATTATTTTTGGCATCTTCGATATCTGCTGGTTCAATTTTTATTTCTACTGGAATCACATCACTTTCGTTTATATTCTTGTCACTTTCTGAAGGGGCTTCTTTGTTTGGATTTATTTCAGGCTCTTTTGGTGTTATTTGGTCAACTTTAGGATCTCTCTGATTGCTCAGATAATCAGTGTCACCATGTTTTTGTACAGGGGTTTCAGAACCTGCTGTTATTATTTCTCCAGTGGACGCAGTACAAATATTTTCCTTATTTCTGAGTTCGTTTCTATCGCTTCTTTCAATGTTGGGTTTTTTCGTATCTTTTTTTTCTTCCGATGTTCCGGCTTCATTGTCCGATTTTCTTTTGGTAGACCCGTGTTCGGCTTCATTGTCAATCTCTTTACTTTTTTCAGCGTCTTGAATGCCAATATTGGGCATATCTTTGCCGACTACAGGATTCTTCTTGTTATGCTCAGAACTTCTAGACTTGCTTTCAACTTTCTTGAGTATCTTACTTGGTCGTTCATTCACTTTGTCTGAAGAATGTTTGTTTTTTGATTTTTTCACTGTTTCTTCCCTTTTACCAGGACCTTGTAGAGCTTCTTGATCATTCTTTGATTCTATTGTTTTTGGAAATGAAACAGTAGATTTTTTTGTTTCATTTCCGATAACCAATGGGTCTATACTTTTTTTAAGGTTCTGGCTTGGATCAATCTGAATAGCTGTTTGCTCAGTGTTAATTATTGTGGATCCAGCGATGGCTTTATTATCTTTAGCTGGGTTTTCCACTTTATATTTTTTCCTATCTTTACTCCGGACCGATTTTTTATCATCATGGTCTGATTTTCTTTTGGATATCTTGATTGTTTCAGGTTTTATCGGAAGTACCATAGAGGTTTCTGTCTGAATTTTTTTATTTCTGTTTGATTCTGGATTACTCAGACTGACAGTGTTTTCTGTGTCACCCTGAATATTTACGGAACTTTGGTCTGAACTTGCCACAATAATTTCTTTCAGGGTTGGAGTGTTTGTGGATTTATGGCTTTCTTTGTTATCTTCGGTTACATTTGGTTTTTCATTGCTAGATGATTTTCTCTCTTTATTCTTTGAAGATTTTCTATCATGATGGTGTGATTTCCTTCTGGCTGCTGCACATTCTTTTATATTTTTTATAAGGTCTTGACCGAATGACTCATTTTTGCTTATATTTCTATCTAATAATTTGTGATTGTCTTTCAATGACTTTATTTTTTTAACATCAGTAGATTCCCGATCTTTATTTTCTAGCGATTTCCTTACATAGTCTGATTTTCTCTTTGATATTTCGCTAGCTGCAGATTTCATCGGAACTGTAATGGAAGATTTGATATTTTTTTGACCCAATGACTCTGTTTTACTGTTTATGTTCAACTTTGGATCATCTTGACCATCAGAGTTTTTAGTGGGACCCTGTATATTTGAGGAAATTGTAGAACCTGTAACAATAGTTTCTCCATTGATTGGTTTGCTGTTTTTTTCTTTATTTCCATAGTTTTGCTTATTGTCTTTGGCTAAATTTGATTTATCAACGTCAGGGGTTTTCCGATCTTTATTTTCCACCGATTTTCTAGCATGCTCTGATTTTCTTCTTGATACTTTGCTTGCTGCAGGTATTATAGGCACTGAAGTTTTGGGAGATCCTGTGACGTTTTCAATAATTTCTTGACCTGATGACAGTATTTTTTTATTCAAGCCTGGTATGTCGACGGGCATTGCAGAACCTGAAACAATTTCTTCCCCGATTTGAGTTCTGCTTTTCTCTTTATTCGTTGGTTCACAAGATTTTTTATTGTCTTTACTTGATTTTGGTTTTTTGTCATCAGCAGCTTTCCCATCTTTATTTTCTACCGATTTTCTAGTATGATCTGATTTTCTTTTGGATGACACTTTGCATGGTTTCATCGGTACACTTTCAATATTATTTTGGCTCAACAAATCCTTTTTTTCATTCAGGTTCGGTCCGTGATTTTTCGAATTGTTTGATTTATTAGAGTCACTCTGTAATTCCACAGGGATTGTAGAAACTGCCACGATATTTTGTTCACTGATCAGTAAGCTGTTTCTTCTTTTATTCGCAGATTCACTGGTTGTTTTATCTTTGTTTGATTTTTCATCTTCAGGAGTTTTTCTATCTTTGCTGTCTAGTGATCTTCTAGCAGAATGATCTGTTTTTCTCTTCTTACTCGATGCAGGTTTCATCTGGCCTTCGATGGTGGAAGATTTCGTTCTATTTTTGAAAATATCTTGACCCAGTGCCTCTCTTTCTCTATTTGTGTTCAACCTTAAAGCAGTATCACCTTGTAGATCTGGATTTCTTGAAGAATCTTCTGCTTCATTACCAGTTCGAGTACTGTTTTCTTCTTTGTTTTTAGGTCCACAGGATTTTGCATCTTTGGTCAGATTTAGTTTTTCATCTTCAGGAGTTTTCCTATCTTGTATCGATTTTCTAGCAAGATGATCTGATATTCTTCTTTTACTTGATGCAAGTTTCATCTGCCCTAAGACGGTAGAAGATTCTGTAACATTTTTTGAAATGTTCTGATCCCATGCCTCTCTTTCTTCATGTTTATTTGACCTCAGAGCATTTTGATCGCCTGGTTGAACACTTTCACCCTGTTTATCATCTGGATTTATTGTAGAATCTTTAAAAATTGGTTCCTTATCGATTTGAGTGCTGGTCAGATTTGGTATTTCATTTTCAGAAGTTTTCCTATCTTTGGCTTCTACTGATTTTCTTGATTTACTTTTGGATGATATTTTACTTGATGCAGGTTTCATCGGGACTATGATGTTAGAGGAATGATTTTGATTGTCTGCTTGTTCAGTGCCACTCTGTATATCATCAGAACTTTTAGAATCTTCATTATTTACGTCTTTGCCAATTTGAGTGCGGCTCCTTTCTTGAGAAGTTTTCCTTTCTTTGTTTTTGAGTGATTTTTTAGCATGATGGTCTGATTTTCTGTTTGATATCTTACTTGCTGAAATGTTTATCGGTTCTAGGATGGTAGGGAATGCTTCTGAATTTTCAATAACCTCCTTACTTACAGAATCTCTTGTTTTATTCATGATCAACTTCAAATCAGTTTGAATGCCTGGTTGTTCAGTGTTACCCTGTATATCTGGAATGTTCGTAGAACCTTTAACAATTACTTCTTTCTCGATTACTTCTTTCTCGATTTGAGTGTTGTTGTTATCTTTACATGGGAGTTCGCAGGACGCATTGGTCAGATTTGGTTTTTCAACTTCAGAAGTTATCGTTTCTTTTTTGTCTAGGGATTTTCCAACATGATGTTCTGACCTTCTCGATATCTTACTTGCTCTATTTTCTATTGGTCCTATGATAGTAGGGATTGCTTCTAAATTTTCGATAACCTCCTGACCCAAAGAATCTTCTTCCCTCTTCATGGTCAACTTCAAATCAGTTTGAATGCCTGGTTGTTCAGTGTTACCCTGTATATCTGGAATGTTCGTAGAACCTTTAACAATTACTTCTTTCTCGATTTGAGTGTTGTTGTTATCTTTACTTGGGAGTTCACACGACTCTTTGGTCAGATTTGGTTTTTCAACTTCAGAAGTTATCTTTTCTTTTTTGTCCAGTGATTTTCTAACATGATGTTCTGACTTTCTTCTCGATATCTCACTTGCTGCATTTTCTATTGGTCCTACGATAGTAGGGATTGCTTCTGAATTTCCGATAATCTCCTGACCCAAAGAATCTTCTTCTCTATTCATGGTCAACTTCAGATCGGGTTGGATGCCTGGTTGTTCAGTGTTTTCCTGTATATCACCTGAAATCATTGTGGAACCTTCAACAATGACTTCTTTCTCGACCTGAGGGTTATTGTTTTCTTTACTTGGGAGGTCACACGACCTTTCCTTGTCTTCTGTCAGATTTGGTTTTTCAACTTCAGGAGTTTTCTTCTTTTTGCTGTCTACTGATTTTCTAGCATGATGTTCTGATTTGCTTCTGGATGATATCTTACTTGCTGAAGTTTCTATCGGCCCTGAGATGGTAGGGATTGCTTCTAAATCTCGGGACATTTCCTGACCCAAAGAATCTACTTTTCTATTCATGGTCAACTTCAGATCGTTTTGAATGCCTGGTTGCTCAGTGTCACCCTGTATATCACCTGGAATTTTTGTGGAACCTTCAACAATTACTGCTTCCTCGGTCTGAGTGTCATTGTTTTCTTTACTTGGGAGTTCACACGACCTTTCCATGTCTTTGATCAGATTTGGTTTTTCAACTTGAGCAGTTATCCTTTCTTTGTTTTCTACTGATTTTCTAACATAATGTTCTGATCTTCTCGATGATATCTTACTTCCGGAAGTTTTTATCGGTCCTGCGATGGTAGGGATTGCTTCTGAATTTTGGATAATTTCCTGACCCAGAGAATCTACTTTCCTATTCAAGGTCAACTTCAGATCGTTTTGAATGCCTGGTTGCTCAGTGTTACCCTGTATATCACCTGGAATTTTTGTGGAACCTTCAACAACGACTTCTTTCTCGGTCTGAGTATTATTGTTTTCTTTACCTGGGAGTTCGTACGACCTTTCCATGTCTTTGATCAAATTGGGTGTTTCAACTTCAGGAGTTATCGTTTCTTTGTCGTCTACTGATTTTCTAACACGATGTTCTGATCTTCTTCTCGATGATATCTTACTTCTGGAAGTTTTTATCGGTCCTACGATGGTAGGTATTGCTTCTGAATTTTGGATAATTTCCTGACCCAAAGAATCTACTTTTCTATTCATGGTCAACTTCAGATCAGTTTGAATGGTTGGTTGTTCGGTGTTTTCCTGTATTTCACCTGGAATTTTTGTGGAACCTTCAGCAATGACTTCTTTCTCGGTCTGAGTGTTATTGTTTTCTTTACTTGGGAGTTCACACGACCTTTCCATGTCTTTGATCAGATTGGGTTCTTCAACTTCAGGAGCTATCCTTTCTTTGTCGTCTACAGATTTTCTAACACAATGCTCTGATCTTCTTCTCGATGATATCTTACTTGCTGAAGTTTTTATCGGTCCTATGATAGTAGGAATTGCTTCTAAATTTTTGATAATCTCCGGACCCAAAGAATCTAATATTCTATTCATGGTCAACTTCAGATCAGTTTGAATGCCTGGTTGTTCAGTGTTCTCCTGTATATCACCTGAAATTATTGTGGAACTTTCAACGATTACTTCTTTCTCGGTCTTAGTGTTGTTGTTTTCTCTACTTGGGAGTTCACATAACCTTTCTATAATATCTTTGTTCAAATTTGGTTTTTCAACTTCAGGAGTTATCCTTTCGTGGATATCTACTGATTTTCCAGAACAGTGTTCTGATTGTCTTCTCGATGATACCATATTTGATTGTCCAGTGACACTCTGTGTATCATCTTGAATTATTGTTAAATTTCCTCCTCCATTGGATTCAGTGCAGTTTTTTCTTCTGTTCATGTCTTCACAAGATTTTTCAATGTCCGTGGTCAGACTTGGTTTATCAACGTCATCTTCATTGTCAACCAATATTTCACTCCTAGGTGATTTACTTTTGACCCTGCTTGAGTTATCAGTAACACTTTGTATTTGTAAGGGAATCGTGAAACCTGCAGCAATAATTTCTCCAGTGTCTGGTGTGCAATTTTTTTCTGGACATATCATTTTGTCGTCCATTGTTGATTTTGGAGTTTCAACATTGAGCGTTTCAGTATCTTTATTTACAACTGATTTTCCAGCTTGATGGTCTGCTCTTCTTTTAATAGATATTCTACTTTCATCTTCATTGTCAATCGCTTTTCTTTTTTTAGTTGCTCCAATTGCAGACGACTGGGAAACGTCTTTGGATGAACTCTTGGGGATGGACTCATCCGAAATTTTTTTATTGTCTGCAATCTCTTTACTTTTACTGAGAAATTTTTGAACTTCATCGATAGTGTTATCGATGTCATTCATCACGCTTTTATGATCGATTTTCAAATGTAAGCAGACCTTGTGAGTGCTTGAAGTGCTTTTTTCATTTACGAGATCAGAAGACTCTTTTTCCTCGGTTTTATCGAAAGATCTATCTTTATTGCTGATCAAGTCAGGCTCTCCACTAATTTCATTGATATACTCCTCCAATAGTTTTTCCGGGATGACAACTTTACTGATTTTGCCTAGCTCTTCATGAGTAACTGGAGGAAGATCGATCCGTTTGAATGTACCATCAGGACCATACAAGTGCGACCTGTAGCCTTGCAAACAATTCGTTGGTCTCAATGTTTCCAAAGCTTTCCTCAATTCAGGAGACCATTGTTTCCAGTTCTTTGATATCTTCATTTTAGATAAACGCTGTCTCCCCTCAGGTGTGAACAACCATCTTTCAGGACTATCAACTTTTCTAGCTGCGTCTTTTTCCATTCTGTACTCTTCCGGAAATTTATCTGGGATGTTCACTCCGTCCAAGGCCTTGATTTCCTCTGCTGTCAAAGGATAATACGACACCTCAACAATGGTGCCGATAGACGAATTCATTTTCAATCTGAATAGGTCTTTGTTATCAGCATCAGGAGCTATGAATTCTTGTAGGCGTTTTTTCAATTCCGGAGACCAAATGTGTGACTTGTTGAATCTGGTTAGAATCCGAGCGAATCTGTATTCTTCTTCGAGTGAGCTAAATCCAGAATGTGAATTGTTTGGAACTTGCTTGTTTTTGTTTGCTTCTTCCAAAGACTTTGAAATGTTCATTGAATCCTCTTGTGTCTTTTCGACACTTTCAGATTTCAAAATTTCCGCTGGAAAAATGTTTTCATCCTCCTTGACACTTGCTACTTTATGAATATCACTTTCAATAGTTTCTGGGATATCTTCTTTTTGAAGCTGAATTTTACCCACAAGCAGTAAATCGGTAGGCGTGTCAGAATTAGGAATTGAAGATAATCCTTGCTTTTCCAAAATAAACTCTTCAGGATATTTAAAAGGAATTGGTACAGTCCGTTTTAACCATCTCAATTTTTTTGGCGATATTTTCGGTATCGTGACCAACCATGACATTGTTTCAGATATCTTGAGTAGTTTACTTTGTGGAAAGTTTAGAGGTACATTTGAGCTTCGCAACTCTTGTATTCGTCTCATGAACTCAGGAGACCAAGAAGCTGCATCTTTGAAGTTATCGTAGATGTACTTCAGACGCTTCAATTCGTTTATCGGTATAAATGGCACTGTTGAATATTCTTCCATAGTCTTGGCAATATTAACATAGGACTTAGCAGTTTTGTTCAGAAGTTCGGGTACTGCAATGTCTGCGATTTTATGTTCTGCAGTGGAAAAGTGTGAGTAGGGTTTGGGCTTCTGGTGATTCATCGACATTTTGACGTCAACAGAATCTTCTCCAGAAATATCGAGGCTACAACTTGTTGAATCCCTTACAGAAACATTCAAATCGTCATCAGAGATGTCGGAGTAATCTTGACATGATTCTAGCTTTTCTGAAACTGATTCTTCATCTTCCATTCTTTTCAAAGCAGTTGCATTTGAGGATTCTTCTTTTATTTTGTGTTTTGTCGGTCTAGTCACAAGTTGTACTGTACTGTTGTGATTTGACGATCCACATTTTTTATCTGGTGCAGAATTTGTTGAATTCAAAATTGATGTCTCTACGATTGGCGTATCTTTATCAGACTTGAACATTTTCTTCAGTTTTTCAGTAGTAAATTCCAGGGGGCTACTTTCTGGTGTAACAACTTTGTTACTGGCTGGACTGTGGGTGTAATTTTTTCCCGAATTCTTAGCACTTGAATCGACTACATCAGTTTTAAAATTGTTTTCTAGTGCATGAACATGAACAGGTAACTCCCAATCCAGTTTTCGTCTGGAATTTCCTGGTTCTTTTCTGAAATTATCGTCGTCTAGAGCTAATCCTTGTTTTTCCAAGATGAATTCTTCGGCGAATTTTTCGGGAACAGGAACGTTTTCTCTCAACCATTTGAGTCTTCTCGGATCTATGGGAGGAATTGAGAGCTTCCAGTTCTCTGTCTTGGAGATTCTCATGATTTTGCGTTTTCGTTTAGTGGAAGAAGCGTTTGGGCTGCGGAAATCTTGAATTCGCCTCTCGAATCCCAGAGACCACCTTTTTTTCTTGACATTCTCCATGATATATTTCAATCGCTGTAGTTCTTTCCATCTCGTTTTTTTCGCACACAAACTATGAGCTTTTGGAAGATCTCCCGAATCAGTTGTTGTTTTTCCCGTTTCAAATTCAGGAGTTTCGTCTTCAGCAGTTATTTCGGAGTTTTGAATAAGTTCTGATTTCTGTTGTGGCGTATGAGGAGTTCCTTTAGTGGGATGGTTACCTGAAAAAACAGTGAATACAAGGTGGGATTCGAGATTAACAGTCAATATCTCGATACTGAGATAAAATTGGCAGGTGTACATACAGGGTGAATCAAGTTTCAAGGCACCAACTTGAATTTGTGATAGATCATCATTTTAATCAAAAAAAGGCTTTATAAACATGAGTCCGATCTCGATTAGTAGTAAAGCTACAAGAGGTCGAAGATTATTTTTTTTTCTATTAATTAAAACATCTTGCTCACTATTGAGGATATCAATTCGAAAATGAGGTTGTTACTTCCTAGAAGATCTTCAATTTAAGCATTTTATCTACAGGGTCATACATTTTTGGGGGTACAGGCTTTTTACCCCACCCAAAATTTTTAGTTAGTACACCTCTGACCTCATCTAGTTACCGGATTATGTGAATTGTTCAATTTAGAGACTTTTATTTGGCCCAGAACCTGTACTCGGGGTTACAAAAACAGCTACCCGAGGCTAGAGTTCCTAAAAGACCTTGACACTGCTGTTTTGACGTTTTTGTATATCAGAGTACCGACACTAGACAAGCAGTGACAATCAAACATAACCACAAACAGTTTTGAGGCAAATCATATGTTTTGCCAGGCAAGGACAAGAATATGTTTTTCGCTTAGATCGGATCGTCGCATCTTCCTTCCCCCACAAGTCCTGGGAAGAGTACATCCATATATATTTTTTTGTCTTTGATTTTTGTATGAGAGTGCAAAGCGTCTTCTCGAGTGGGTAAAAGGTTACGATAAATTGATTACATGATTATTTCTTCTCGAAATATTGAATGATAATGATGAATGATTTAGTGTGGAACAATTTCACTCGTACAAGAGTGGTAGGTAATAGGTAATTAATAAATGAACAAATAATATGGCAACAATAACAGATGATTTCAGTTGGGATAAATATTAAAGGTTCTCCAAGACATACGAGAGTAGCTATAAATGGACTTCAACGCTCAAATCAAAATTAATACGTAGACATAAATTTAAGTCAACACTTCGAAATTCTACGACTTTTCAAGTGGATAAAAAGAACTCTAGAAGAATCCCAATCCCGTTCAATCCCAAGTATTCGAAAGGCCTTGATAAGGTTTTCAAAGACTAAGGTTTTTGAAGCGTTCATCAGTCTGGGTCAAAATTAGGCAATTTATTAGACAATCCGAAAGATATAGTGGACACACTTGAAAAGTCGGGAATATACGAAATAAGTTGTAATGATTGTGATAAAACATATATAGGCCAAACCAGGCGACTTATAAAAGCAAGGTTCAAAGAACACCTAGCACATTTAAGATATGGTAGGTTAGATAAATCGTGTGTAGCCGAACATATGTTCAATAACAATCATAAAACACATATTACTTACCTCGAATTAGTTAAGCAAGTTAATAACATTAGAAAACTAGACGCATATGAAAGCTTAGAGATATTTAAGAATAGTAATAGAGTAATGAATAAGGATAATGGACCTATTCCATAAAGCCCTCTATATAGTTTAGTAATATAAAGATTAAGATTAACATGTGAACTCAACGATGACAAACATGACGGTTAGAATTTTTCACAGTTTGGTGAACATATACCTAGTATATAAGCAGCACACTAGAATAGGATATTTAGTTCTGATCTTCTCCACACATGTCGAGGCGTTTAAATAATCGGTTTGGTTAGTAGTAAAACAGTGTAGTGTGATGTATTTGAGTGATGATTCTATTCAAGAAATGAAAAATAATTAGTCTACTCGCCAATTCTCATAAACTATACAGAGAAATGAAATTTGCTTATTAGGTTTAAAATGGACTTTGTATTCTCTGAAAACGGTTAATCGCCAACCTAACTGATTGTGAATCTGAAAAGCTTACCGGAAGAGAATGTATTCAATGTCCATCCTTTACCAGGATCGAATCTGAAAAGACTGCAGCACCTCACCAACAGATAATCAACGTCTTCTTTGCTAACACCAGCATCGAGCCGTTGGACGTACTCGAAAATACTATCAAACCCGATGCCGAAAGGATGGATGAGCAGGAAGGTCGATATTATCCCGATCAATTTCGCTTGTTTCATATCGATCGTCTCTTCCTGCAAGTAGGATTGGGAACATTTCACTTCCGAGTTATGAAAATGAATTTCACTCGAAATATACTGAGAAGTGCACAAAAAACGGTCAGGATTTATAACTTTTGAATTATTCTAGATAGGGGTTTGAAAATTGGTGGGCAGCTAGTATACCAAATTGGTCATTATTTGAAGAAACAATTTTTGTTCTATCACTTCCGATTTTACTAGAAACTAGGGTCCCTTGATGGAAATTGACGTTAAAGTCATCTCAACAGGGTACGGACAGATCCTCGTCTCCTCTCACTCTAAAGTGTTTGTGAAACAGTTATATAGTTCCATCCTTATTCAATTCTGGGGATAAACACTAGATTTTTGACATTCGTTGTTTTTTAGGTTATATTGAGGTCACTGGCGTATCATACGTAATTTCCATATGGAATTCCTGATTCAACTATACCAAGATATAGATGAACAATCCTCTAGTTTCAGAGTTTACCACTCCAGCATAATCTTTGCAAGGTAGGGAACATATAAATTGTACCGAAAGCTTAATACATTTAACCAAAAGAGACTAATCTTTGACTGTATACCAGGGTTGACTGAATTGCCTGAATGAATTCTGATTTCAAGCTGAGCAGTAGTTTATCTATGAGCTGAATGAGCAGAGCCTTATTATGATTGAGAAATGGTGGAAACCTTGATGTGGGTATCTAAACTAATGTACTCATGTCATGTGTGCTATATTTTCGGAAATCCAACTCGAAGAGAAGAATCTATGGAGTTACTTATATCACACTATGTTAAAACTTCGTCTAGGACGAAAAGTATGCTGATAAAAAGTAATACGTAAAATGTGTAGGAAAATAAAGAATAGAATATACTTCACCTGATTTTTCCGTCTCCCTTGAAGTCATTTTCGAATAATTTATTGATGGAAGTAACGAAAGACGAAATAATTATAATCTCCGACCCACGAAAACCCTCAGATACCAATCTTAAATAGAATGAGATCATAATTAGAAATTTCTTCCGCTATATATTGGATCCGTAATCTTGAATTTTCCAAGTTTGACGAAACAATCATTATCTCCAACCCCGGAAAACCCCAGACACCTTTCAATTTTGAATGAAAATGGGATCATAATTCCAAAACTCGTTCGCCATATGATATTCCTCAACAAGTAAATACCCTGTACATACCTATTATCAAAATTTTGAATGATTTTCTGTAGCGCACATGGATGTGACGTGACATCAATGTCAGGGATGCCAGTAGACAAAACTAAAGTCTCTAGATCATTGAAAAAGAATGCAGCTATGATCTGTCCGTACCCTGTTAAGATGACTTTAACGTCAATTTCCATCAAGGGACCCTACTAGAAAATACCCCAACTTTTGATTCTTGAATGGGACACCGGGTGTATTGTATACCATATTCGGTTAGGGATTGTCATAAATAATTTATCGATACCGGGTTTGATAGGGTTATTTCGAACGATTACGCAGATATTCGCGTTCTAAGTTTGCATATGCTCAATGAGTGTGACAGAGAAAGAAGTTTTGATATTACGAAGTCACACCCTTTGAGTATATGGAAACTTCGAACGCAAATATCTTTGTAATCGTTTGAAATAACCCTATCAAACCAGGTATCGTTGAATTCGTCATGATGATCACTAATCGAATATGGAATACAATACAGGGTGTCCCATCTAAAAATCAAAAGTTGGTGTCGTTTGCGGTGAAACTGGGAGTGATAGTGTTTCATCAATTAATGAGCAATTTGGTATACTTGCTACCCACCAATTTTCAAAACCCTATCTGGAATAATTCAATTATTGAAAAACGGGTTCTTTCGGTAAAATAATGTATCATAAGTTAACGTGGAAATCATACATTGAAAATCTAGAATCTAGAAGTTGTATAAGCAATTGTGCCTCTTAAGGCAATTGAAAAACACAGTTTCTAACAAAATTTTATCACTGCTATACAGGGTATGTCACGATCAATCAGTCGGAAAAATCCATAAAAATATGCATGCTTATATTTTAGGATACGGTCTCTTCATTTTAAATATTTTCGGCAATACAGTGTTGCCGCTTCTACTAAAAAGTAGTAGCAACATTGATATTTCAAATGGAACACCCTGTATTTTATCGCATTTCTAGATTCTCCCTGAAGAGCTGATTTTATCGATATATCACACTTGGGGTCTATCGAAAAAGATTACAGAGATATGGATTTTTCAATTTTTGGATTTTTTTGTGTCGAAACTATTTTTTATCGGTCAAAACGGCTCACATGTCCCTATCTCAACTTTTGATTCACTATTTACTGATATTTAACCGGAACAGAAACAGAGTGGTTCAAGATTCCGAATTCTGATCACTTGGATAGCCATGATGCATAATATTTCGAGTATTCATTGGAAAACAAAACACACAGATAATGACAGTGACAAGCCTTATCAGTAGACAGTAAAAGTTTCTTCAATTTCATTTCGCGTCCAAATATTGTATAATCAAAGTGAAAATAGGATATTGTAGTGTTTAGATGTTGTTTAGTATTCATAATAGATCATAGATGATCTAAGGTATCCATTTATATTTGTATTGGCATGCCTGTCGTGAATTTAGACAGAACGTGACAATTGACTTGCAGTCATATTTGAGTGATGATAACGAAACAGAAAACGACAAATGTATTTTATTTAACAGGATGTCTAATAAATAAAAGTTATATCATATAATCCTACAGATACAAATTTTATATTCTCCATTTTTTCATATCTCCAAAAACTGGAAGTTGGAGTTCAATTGTTTACGACCCACCCTATATACTGTGTCTTCCTGCACTCTGCAGGTCATTTATCTAATTTTGACAAAGGATTCAAGGTGATGGAAATTTATTTGAAAATTTTCAGTAAATCACGAAAGATTCTTTTTTTTTTTGAGATGTACCTCATTCTATGTTAAAAAATGCCTATAGAAAGTTCTTTCTGTTCAGAAAAATATTCAAAAATAATAATGTTATCGCATATTTTCGAAGTCGGTCAAATGTATATGTCCGCCTGTACAGGGTGCTTCGTCTCTGAGATACAGGGCGTTGAAATTAAAGAAAAAAAAAACGGTAATCACAAAATATCATGAATATCCTGGAACCGATTTGGTTGAAATTTGGTACTTTTATTTGTCAAATTTACTAAAATTTCAGCACATCAAGTGACAACTATATTTTTGGCGGAAATAATGAAAAACTCATTTCTCCAATGCAGGTGTTCATGATATGCAATACAGTGGCTTACATTTTTTTTTCTCGAAAACAAAGCTGGATATGAAGAAAATACAGGAGACCAAAAAGTTGTATTCTGAGTTGCTTAATCTAAAAAAAATTAAAATCCACCAACAAAAGTCAGTGGCGTACTTTTTTTCACAATATTGTTGGCTGTGGTACCCACTGAGAAGCCACTGGCCCCAATAATTTCAATCTAAATGGGGCTAAATAAGCGCTTAATTAGTTCAAATAAAAGTGCCAGATTTTAACCAAATCGGTTCCAGGATATTAATGATATTATATAATTACCGGGTTTTTTTTTCAATTTCAACGCCCTGTATCTCAGAAATGAAGCAACTCCGGACATATGTTAATAAGAACTTTTCTTCCTAAAATGACCTAACGAATCACCACCTGCAGTTAGGAACCGTAGTTAGGAAACACCCTGTATATCGAAATGCAGTTTTGACCGACGTTCCACAAAAATCGAGCTCTAGACCCTTTGGTCAGTTTTTCACTAGCTGTTATGGAAAAGAGGAAAAACTACCAAAATCAAGCAATTTGGGACACCCTGTATGTACATGATGTAGAAATTTTCGAATTGAAAATTTCATTTGAAAAGTTTAATTTCACGGCGCGGTGAAATATTTCGATTTTGAAACGTTCATTTGGAAATTTCAATCGTCCCAACCCTACCTGCAAGTTTTTCAGCTGTACTTCCAATTCGTCCTTTCTGCTCTCTACTTCATTTAGTTGTTTTTTGTGCAAATCGATTTGATTGTGCAAGTCCACGACGTACTCTTTTGTTTTTTCGAGTGTTTCAACCACCTCTTTTTCCCTGGCTTTTCTCATTTGAAGTTCGGCCAACTGTTTCCTGACGTCCTCGTCAGCTGATTTACAGATTTCATTATTTTCCATTTGTTTTTGGAGGAGATGATGTTTGATTTGTTCCGCTGAAAGTAAACGCCTCTGAACAGCATTCTGATTTTCTAATAAGGCGATTTTGATGTTTTGTTGTCTGATGAAATAAGAGTCGCCCTCTTTGGGGCAATCTTTCAAGCTCTGTTTGATGCACCACAATCCTTTCTTGTTCGATGAGATTTGTAGTTCCTGAATTCTAACTTGAGAATTGATTTCTTTCAGTTTTGCTGCTTCAATTTCCTTTTTGCACTGTTCCATTGCATTCACTAGATCTGCCTTTTCTTTCATTTGTTCCATTTTAGATGCTTCCTCCTATATTTGATAACATTAAATTTAATACAATTTAACATTTAAATTATATATTTCATCAAGATTTACAATGAAATAACATGAATAATCAGACAGATTCATATCTGGTATGAGATTATTCATGCGTTTTGAATCAAAGTTATTGAAATAAACAACAGATTCAAAAATAATGATGATGAAACAAAAAGATCATGAAAAGTACATTATGACATGATGACAGGTTTGATTTTCTCTTTGCAAGGGGATATGTTTTTTTACTTTAATTTTGAATTGGGTGAATGAATGACAATCTTGGTAGATGAGGTTTTGATAAATGCAGATGATAATTATAGCAGGGAAATATCGGCTGACAGCTATTTGACATGAAATTAGTTAACATTTGGATTTTTGAAAGTTTGGTTGCAATTATCGCAATAAACTATTGAAAGCAGCAGCGATAGTGAGTTTGAAAATGTCCATACGAAATTTCCAATGGAGCAGTTAGTAGGTATAGGTATTCTGTTCTGTAAATAACTATTTTTCCCGTACCTAGTATTTTTTTCCCGAGGGAGCCAAAATACCGTGAGCGAAAATCTAATATTTTTCCCGTGTATAATACACTATTTTTTCTATGACAGAAGAAAGGACGAATCAATATTGAGAAAATATTACATTATTTTGAAATCTGAAAATTATCGACGTGTAATTTGAATTTTTTAACAGTAGGGACACCTGCGTTGTAGGCATCTTAATCATTCTTTTGAATTAATCAATGGGGAAGACCACTGAGAGAAGAAATCCGTGCAAACCTCTTTTAATCGACGAATCATGAGTTACGTTTGATGCACAATCAATATTATGAGTTGAAGTTGAAGGGAATCGAATCTATATCGTTTTGAAATCAGCATATTTCATTCGATATTTCAAACAGCCAAATATGATGGTGGAGCCGTGACGTATTAGTCCCAACCTGTAGCTATCTCTCTCTGATACCTCGTCATTCTGCAGTGTTGCAGTGTGATTGGTCAGTTCAAGGACAATAGGCGTGTTGGGACTAAGACGTCGCACCAGTCACACCAATGAATTGACAAAATTTCGAATGGCGCAGGAATTGTGTGCTTTGAAATGGACATATTCTAATTTATTGTTTTCATCGTCTTAGCATGAATGACAAAATTCAAAATTAATTCGCTGGTAGTATTTTGGTATAGAGTACCCGATAATGTTGTTTTAAAAAATCAGTGGTCTCCCCCATTATCTGATGTCAGTCTAATTCTGTGATTTGATTTCAAAAAATTGCGAATTTAGTGGTTGTTTAGTAATATACGTAACCGCGAAGTCGAATGGAAGATAAAAGGACTTGCAGTTCTATCTCGGAGACGGTATTATTGACTCATTTTTCGGAACTATAGCACAACAAAAGCCATCAACAGTGTATATATATATGTGATATATATCCGGGAAAAAAGAACTGACTTTTTTCCCACGGGAAAAAAGTAATTTATGAAAAGTGACATTTTATAACGTGCCAACAGAGATGAAATGCCAAACTTCTTTCCCGTCACAGAAAAAAAAACAATTTCATTACCCTCTTCTTATATTCTTCCACTTGACACCTCAATCTATCATTTTCTTTTTTCAATTGGATATCATCGACTTTTTGTGTCATGTTGTCAGCGTCCTTGGCATCATCGGTTAGATCAATGTAGTAATTCCCATTTGTCATCAATTCTGATTGGTTTTGTGGTCCAGGGATTTTGTATTCCTGGAAAGTTAAGGTTTTGCTAAAACAGACATTCACCCGGTGGCCCCAAGAACCGAGTCACTTCTGTAACTCAGAAGATAGAATTTATAAATTTCGACAACATACAGGGTGTATCTAAATAACACCGAAAAAATTCAAGGGGTGATTCCTTGTGATTCCTGGGTTAGGTGGAAGAACAGACATTCTAGACAGTCTAGACCCCTTTCAGGATTCCAGAATGAATTGAACCTCGCCTTATCTTTTATTATATTATTCATTATTATTTGTCGAATCGTGATTGATAAAGAACTTTATTATTATTATTATTATTGTATGTTAGGAAATAAAGTTCATATAATCATGTGTCCTAAGTTGCTTCGTTTTCGAGATACAGGGTATTAATAATTCCTTCCATGAAAAATCGTTCTTCTATTCATTTCTCAATTGTTTTTTTATCAATTTCAATAAAACGTTGTGGTTTCGTTGATAGAAATATGGAGCTTCTTCTACTGCAATTAGATTCGAAATAATATTTCCAGTGGCGTCACAGTGGGTAGATTTATCGATATTCATGGTGAATTGTAATTGTACACCACCGGAATTTCTGAGTTTCTGTGTGATTTTTGTATCTAGCTCAGTTTTTGAGGTAACAACAAAAATTCGATTTGACTACAAATTTCAATGTAGGTGTTTTCAAAACTTCCATTGAGATTACTCAATAACCCCAATTACATTACAATCATTTTCAAATTTCTGGGCTTTCTCAGTCTCCATACATACTGAATTTTGGCACCATGAAAGATGATACGGGGGGTTATAAATAAAAACAATTAATACTTCTAACTTCAATATCCTGTATCTCAAAATCGGAGCAAGTTAGTACACATGTTTATATGAAATTTATTTGCTGGAATGTCAAAAGGAAATACCCCTAGAATGTTTTCGGTGTTATTTAGATACACCCTGTATAAGACAAAAGAATTTTTATTTTTGCGTTGGAAGTCGGAAGCATCGTTGACTTTCTGAAATTTTTATTAGGACAGTATTAGAAATAATTAAAGTTTTTGTAAATGACTCTAAAGTTACAGCGGTGACTTGGTAATCAGCAAATAACCTTCGTTTTTTAAATGTATGATAAATTGACATTCATCATACAGGACGTGCAAATATACAGGAAAGTAGTTGTTTTCTGTTGAATATTCAGAATTAAATTATATGCATATCTTTATATGAAGGAGAATGCACAAATTCTCTACTTCAGAAGATTTTGTTTTCAAATTCTTATCTTATGTGTTCAATAGATGTAATTCAATATTCGTCGTGGCATATAGCCAAGAAAGTAGATGTTTTCTGTTGAAACATGGAGAATGCGAACTCTCAATGTATTTCTTTATATGTATATATCCATTTCGTCGTGTTCATAAATATATCTGAGAATGTTCCTTTTCAATAAAGTACATTCGTTTTTTATTTTTGACGATCCAAAGTCAGTCGATGGAGCACTTCTAAAAAAACATACAGGGTGTATCTGAATATCATATTTCGATCAAAATAAATAAATCTATGTTTGGTTCTGAACATACCTGAATTATTACATGAGTGAGGGCGGGAAGTCGATGTGTGTAATGTGACACTTCCCAACCTTCAATGACGTTAGTAATGACAAAATCACATATATGGTTGTAAATAAAAGATTTTTCATGGAAATACCCTGTTTCAAACGAAGCAATTTAGGACGCATGTTTATATGAACTTTATTTCCTAAAATATCACAAGGAATCACCCCTTGAATTTTTTCGGTGTTATTCAGATACACCCTGTATAGATACGCAGAGCGGTTCCCCTTCAGAAACATCAGCTCACTGCCTCACAAAGATTATGCTGGAGTTGAAAAATCAAAAACTCGAAAGTTATCATCATCATTTTGATATTGGATGGGAAATTATATGTGGAAATTACGTATGATACGCCAATTTTCTCAATATATCCAACAACAACAACAAATGTCAGAAATCTAGGGTTCATCTCCAGAAATGAATAAAGATGGAACTATATAACTGTTTCACAAACACTTTAGAGTGAGAGGAGACGAGTATCTGTCCATACCCTGTTAAGATGGCAAATACGTCAATTTACATCGAGGGTCCCTAGTACAACTGACAAACGCTTCAACTGACTTTGGATAGATTATAACTTGTTTTCAAATTTGTACGAACAAGTCACGTATGCAGAGTGACTTTTCCACCATTTATCAAGTTTGTGCGTATAGGTTGAATCACCCTGTATTTCATGTTCAATTTTCAGATTACTATTCCACTCTTGATCTCGAGAACCAATCAGAATCGACCATTTTCATGGTTTCTTCTGTATTCTAGCGATATTTTTTGTTTACTAAATTTTATCGGACTTGCTCTACCAATACAGAAGCCGAATTGAACCACACGTGACCAACTAACCTCGTTTATCAGCGATAAAATTTTGACATCGTGACTGGTCAAGATTGCTTTGGATTCAAATCTGAGACAATAACCTAAGTTCCTACTTTATTTTATTCACTTATAATTCGCGTTAGTGAGATATTTTGTACGAAAGGCGAGACAATTTTATTCTGGCTGGACGTTAAATGTGTAATTTAAAAAGTTTGCATATTTGTTGACGGTCTGACACAACAATAATAGAATTCAAATTCCTTTTTGAAGTAATCTTCTTCAATCACTCAAGTTATTGTGACTGACTTATATAATTACTAGCTGATGTAGCGCAACTGTTAGGGTTGTTGCGCGAGGATACGGAGGTCGATGGTTCGAGCCCTCGGCGACGATATCTTTTTTTTTTAATTATTCCATGTCACATAAATTCAATTTATTTTGTTTGAATTGGATAGTAATTGTATACACTCTTTTGAGAGCAACCATCTCCAAGATAATAAAAAAAATACTGTTTATCAAAATTGTACATTCCACTTTGTGAATAACTATAAGTATAGGTAGTTAATTTCTAAAAAAGTAAATTCATTACTATCATTATGTTCTTCTTCGCAGTTCGAGTTGGAATATACTTAAATTATGTTTCCTATTTCTTATATACTTATATTGTCTCATTCAATCATGAAATAGTCATAAGAATACAACTCGTGATACTATTTTTCCTGGAAATATTCGTCGATTGACATACTCCAACTTGCTGCTCTAATTTCGCTCATGACATTGATCCAAAACTACTCGCCTACGGCTCGTAATTTTGATAACAATGTCATTCACGAAATTACTAGGCAACAGCTGTCGTAACAATCACCGAATGTTTCCGGCAAAATATTATCACTTGTGGTATTATATATGAATAAATGCAAAAAGAAACTGAAGAATAAATCAATCACATACCTTCAATTCTCTTATCCATTCAACGAGGTTTTTTCTTTGTGTATCCCTCAGATACCCCCACACTTCCTTCTTGCTAGCGATCGTGAACAATCCTTCAATATGACTCACTGGTCGTCAGAATCAATATGCAAATAATACAAATCCATAAGTTTATATGTACAATGTACAAGGTGTCCCAAATTGCTTGATTTTGTCAGTTTCTTCAATTTCCAGAACAAACGAAAAAGGTGCCTGTAGAAAGTTTTTTCTGTTTAGAAAAATATTCAAAAAATAAAATGTTATGGCATATTTTCGAAGTCGGTCTAATGTACCGGGTGTACCACTAAGAAAGGACGCCGGTATCTCGGAAACTATTTGCCGCACAGGTTTCGAAAAAAAATATGAATGATGAAAGTGGCCAAGAGAAATCTCTGGAAATTATTTTCAAGTTTCAAGGACAGCCCCTAGACGGCGTAATTGCACTGGCCAGTTTGATAAACGGGTTTTTATGAAAATTTGATACATCAAGTCATATCAAAAACACTTTTTTCATATTCTCGAGTTCATTTCCAATCATTTCGATCGAAAAAAATTGCGCTAGCTCTTTAAATGGAAGAGGGAGGGAAGGATGAATAGTACTTTGAAAAAAACTATCATTACTACAGTTTGGTGTAACGAAATTCAACGATCTTGGTCTCATTATGAAGGTTTTTTTTTTATTCTTCCAGATGAATCAAGAATCAAGTCGATTTAAATCTCGTGGTGGCCGCTAGATGGCATCGTTTGAAAAATCAGACAATTTTCCATTTTCTTTCGAAAATTTCGAATGGAATCATGTATTCATTCTACTCTAATATGAAAGTAGAGCAAACGAGAAGAAGAATGGTGAAAACCGCGAATTGATACCTCTTGAGGAACTGGTGAAATACTCGAAATAATATAATGAGAATATTCCCAACAGGAATCTAGCTTCCAATAATCGTAATCAGGTTAGGTTAGGTTAGGTTAGGGAATGAGAAAAGGCAAGTTGGCTTTGAATGAAAGAAACGTCAAAATATAATTGAAGTTCCATTGGAAGTTTTCACTGTGGATTGCTCATTTGTCAAAATGCCGATAACGAATGAGGAGGCATTTGACATGCTAACAGTTCAAATTTTAATATTATTCCGAGTATTTCTCCGGTTCTTCAAGAGGTATCAACTCGCGGTTTTCACCGTTTTTCTTCTCGTTTACTTCACTTTCATATCATAGCAGGCAAAATATATGGTTCCGTTTGAAATTCTCGAAAAAAAAGTGGCAAATCGGCTGATTTTTCAAACGATGCCACCTAGCGGCCACCACGGGATTTGAATCGACTTGATTCGTGATTTATAAGGAAGATCTGAAAAAACCCTTCATAATGAGACCAAGATCGCCTAATTCCGTTACACCAAACTGTAGTAATAAGAGTTTCTCCAGAGTACTATTCATCCTTCCCTCTTTTATTTAAAGAGCTAGCGCAATTTTTTTTTATCGAAATGATTGGAAATCAACTCGAGAACATGGAAAAAGTGTTTCTGATATGTCTTGATATATCGAATTTTTATAAAAACCCGTTTTTTAAGTTGGCCAATTCAATTATGCCCTCTAGCGGCTGTCCTGGAAACTTGAAAATAATTTCCAGAAATGTTATTGGCCACTTTTATCATGAAATTTTTTTTCCGAAACCTGTGCGGCAGATGGTTTCCGAGATACAGCCGGCGTTCTTTCCTAGTGGTACACCCGGTACATTTTCGCCTATATATCGAAAACGTTTAGAGATATCGAAATGGGTTTTTCACCAATCGACGTTTCACAAAAATCTCTCTAGACCCTTTGGTCAGGTTTTCTCTAACTGTTCTGGAAAAAGAAAAAACTGCCAAAATCAAGCAATTTGCGGGACACCCTGTACAGTGTTTTTCTTTAATGTCTCCCCACCTTTTATTTTTTGAACGGGTCAACTGAAAAAATTGAAACTTAGAATAATGAATGAATACTATATTTTGGAGTAAAATTGACTGATGAAAATGGCATAAGGACCCCGCACTTTTAGTACGTAAAATGGTTCTCGGTGAAATTTTCTGAATTTTCAGTATGTTGTAGAATTCGATGAACTGATTGAACAGATTCTGAGATACAGCTACAAATCGGTATTTTTCATTTAATTATTTTCTCGAAATTCAAAGATGCCAAGTACAATTTTTTCGCTCATATCATTAACGAACCTCCATATTACTCAACATAATTCAGATGGTTCAGATGATGTAATTGTTTACAGAGTGAAACATATAAACATTTCAGTGATGTCTGAAAATTCGATGTAATAATGAAATATCAAAACAATAATTTAGGCATGCAATATACTATTCACATTCCATTATGAATCACAATTCATACACTTCATACAGGGTGATTTGAAAAATTGGTGACACCTAAGACCGATTTATTCATACACATCCTGTATAGTCGAGTGAATTGTTAACCTCCCAAGACATCGTTCCAAGATAGCTGATACCGTATGAACATGATTTCGTTGAGATATATAGGGTGATCTTGAAGATTTTCGATGATGGAAATGACAAAAAATCGTGTTTTTTGAAATCATCCTGTTATTCATGATTAACTCGGTGAAATTCCCTAATTATTTTTTAATATATTCATCATTCGCAATTGCAAAAATTTTAGCAATTTTCATGATTTTTTGCGATTTTTGCAATTTTCAGGCATTTTTGCGATTTTTGCAATTTCCAGGAATTTTTGCGATTTTTGCAATTTCCAGGAATTTTTGCGATTTTTGCAATTTTCAGGAATTTTTGCGATTTTTGCAATTTTCAGGCATTTTTGCGATTTTTGCAATTTTCAAGCATTTTTGCGAATTTTGCAATTTTCAGGAATTTTTGCGATTTTAGCAATTTTCATGATTTTTTGCGATTTTTTCAATTTTCAGGAATTTTTGCGATTTTTGCAATTTTCAGGAATTTTTGCGATTTTTGCAAATTTTCAAGCATTTTTGCAAATTTTGCAATTTTCAGGAATTTTTGCGATTTTTGCAATTTTCAGGCATTTTTGTAATTTTTTCAATTTTCAGGAATTTTTGCGATTTTTGCAATTTTCATGATTTCTTGCGATTTTTGCAATATTCAGGCATTTTTGCGATTTTTGCAATTTTCAGGAATTTTTGCGATTTTTGCAATTTTCAGGAATTTTTGCGATTTTTGCAATTTTCAGGAATTTTTGCGATTTTTGCAATTTTCAGGCATTTTTCAGGCATTTTTGCGATTTTAGCATTTTTCAGGCATTTTTGCGATTTTAGCAATTTTCAGGCATTTTTGCGATTTATGCAATTTTCAGGAATTTTTGCGAATTTTGCAATTTTCAGGAATTTTTGCGATTTTTGCAATTTTCATGATTTTTTGCGATTTTTGCAATTTTCAGGCATTTTTGCGATTTTTGCAATTTCCAGGAATTTTTGCGATTTTTGCAATTTTCAGGCATTTCTGCGATTTTTTCAATTTTCAGGCATTTTTGCGATTTTAGCAATTTTCAGGCATTTTTGCGGTTTTAGCAATTTTCAGGCATTTTTGCGATTTATGCAATTTTCAGGAATTTTTGCGAATTTTGCAATTTTCAGGAATTTTTGCGATTTTTGCGATTTCCAGGAATTTTTGCGATTTTTGCAATTTTCAGGCATTTTTGCGATTTTTTCAATTTTCATGATTTTTGGCGATTTTTGCAATTTTTTTTGCGATTTTTGCAATTTTCAGGAATTTTTGCGATTTTTGCAATTTTCAGGCATTTTTGCGATTTTAGCAATTTTCAGGCATTTTTGCGATTTTAGCAATTTTCAGGCATTTTTGCGATTTATGCAATTTTCAGGATTTTTTGCGATTTTTGCAATTTTCATGATTTTTTGCGATTTTTGCAATATTCATGAATTTTTGCGATTTATGCAATTTTTAGGAATTTTTGCGAATTTTGCAATTTTCAGGAATTTTTGCGAATTTTGCAATTTTCAGAAATTTTTGCGATTTTTGCAATTTTCAAGCATTTTTGCGAATTTTGCAATTTTCAGCAATTTTTGCGATTTTTGCAATTTTCATGATTTTTTGCGATTTTTGCATTTTTCAGGCATTTTTGCGATTTTTTCAATTTTCAGGAATTTTTGCGACTTTTGCAATTTTCATGATTTTTTGCGATTTTTGCGATTTTTGCAATTTTCAGGAATTTTTGCGATTTTTGCAATTTTCATGATTTTTTGCGATTTTTGCAATTTTCAGGCATTTTTGCGATTTTTGCAATTTCCAGGAATTTTTGCGATTTTTGCAATTTTCAGGCATTTTTGCGATTTTTTCAATTTTCATGATTTTTGGCGATTTTTGCAATTTTCAGGAATTTTTGCGATTTTTGCAATTTTCAGGAATTTTTGCGATTTTTGCAATTTTCATGCATTTTTGCGATTTTAGCAATTTTCAGGCATTTTAGCGATTTATGCAATTTTCAGGAATTTTTGCGATTTTTGCAATTTCCAGAAATTTTTGCGATTTTTTCAATTTTCATGATTTTTTGCGATTTTTGCAATTTTCAGGCATTTTTGCGATTTTTGCATTTTTCAGGCATTTTTGCGATTTTTTCAATTTTCAGGAATTTTTGCGATTTTTGCAATTTTCATGATTTTTTGCGATTTTTGCAATTTTCAGGAATTTTTGCGATTTTTGCAATTTTCATGATTTTTTGCGATTTTTGCAATTTTCAGGCATTTTTGCGATTTTTGCAATTTTCAGGAATTTTTGCGATTTTTTCAATTTTCATGCATTTTTGCGATTTTAGCAATTTTCAGGCATTTTAGCGATTTATGCAATTTTCAGGAATTTTTGCGATTTTTGCAATTTCCAGAAATTTTTGCGATTTTTTCAATTTTCATGATTTTTGGCGATTTTTGCAATTTTCAGGAATTTTTGCGATTTTTGCAATTTTCAGGAATTTTTGCGATTTTTGCAATTTTCAGGCATTTTTGCGATTTTAGCAATTTTCAGGCATTTTTGCGATTTTAGCAATTTTCAGGCATTTTCGCGATTTTAGCAATTTTCAGGCATTTTTGCGATTTATGCAA